ATTTAATTGGTCAAAATCAAATTCCCAGGCTTCTGAATTACTTATAGGTTTTATACCATACCTCTCTGTTTTTGATGGACTTTCCATGGAATACTTGCTCTAGTTTCATTAAAAAAGCTTAGCTCTCGTTGGCTAATATATGTATAGTGAATATTCAAAGTATAATAAACACTCCTTCACGCGAAAACACATATAATATTCTCGTAAATAAACGCATCTTTTGGAAATGGAAAGAMCTATTAAGTCGTTTAGAAGCAACCGTTTGCTGTACGTGCGTGGGCACTACCTATATAATAGCACTGAACATCCTTTCAGGTTTATCTATATTGATAAAATTCACAGCTTTTTGTACAACTTGGTATTGGCTTTATGTTTTTATCGTGTGGCTCGATACATCTACAGAAAAAAAAATCACCGATACTCAATATATAATCAGTTTAGAAATACAAATTAAAGATGATGTAAACGGCCTCAGTGTGTTAACTTCGAGCCCACTTTCCGATGCACTTTTCTTGAGCTATGATCCCAATTTGTCACCATTGAACAAGTAAATATTTATTGAATGAGAATATCGGTCGTATCGTTTGATCTGTGCCTTCCGCAATCTTTTTTGAAAATAGTTTTTAATTGCTTCGAGGAAAATAAAAACCAAGCGCGGTATTTAAGTTAAATATATATACATGGTTACGTGGTAATAGTCTAATCTTGCCCCCAGCAAATACACTTTGTATAGCAGTGTAGCTACCGAATATATTCGCAGGTGTTACAATTCAATTCCAACGCACAAACAAGCCAATTTCACTTGCAAAATGATATCGCGCGCTCACGTATAAATATCTTATAGTGTTTTCTTTGCAGTGCTTTTTTTTCTTCGCATGCATGCGTTAAACTTCGCTAACTTTACCTTTGAAAAAGGCTTGTTTGTTTGGCTCCGACGTCTCTAGGTACTTACTTCCTAAACTGAAGTAAGGATTTACTGTTTTTAAAGACAGTTTTCAATAGATTTAATGCATTATTAATGGTGAYTGATGCCTTGTATGCATTCAAACGTATGTTAAAGCCATACATGTCTATACATACCATAAATATTCCTTGGAAAAGTGACAGGCTAGTTCATGTATTGCCCTCTCAAAGGTATACAGTGATGTACGTTTTCACATTCCATCTCGACATATGATGAACCCCTGCCCCCTACTAGGTATGAAGTGTATTTCTTTGTGTGGGCCGAGCCAAACAATCCACACACCGATAGAACAATGACGTGCACTAAAAGTTACAAACCTCCACAATCTAGCTCATCGATATGAAAGAAMGAGAAATAAACAAAAAAATGAAAACAAAATTCACCTGCGTGGAAATAAATATGGAAAAAACGTCTCTTTTCGGTCAAGGGTTCGCGTGACAATTAACATTGATGGATATCTTGATTTTAGCAAATAAATAGAAAGAGTTCAGAGCTGTTTCAAATGACCGTAATCTGTGGTCTAGAAATAGGCGAATGACGTCACGAGGACAGGTGTAAAGACGTGCCATCAATTCTCAATAGTGAAATAAATCAATATATCTACTCTAGTACTTACACATATATATCAGATTACAGTAAAAGAGAAACCGGTGCTGCTAGATGGTGGTAAAGATTACCCCCTTACAAATAAGAAAAAAAGTTGACCTCGGTCACGGATCCGACTTGCAAAAAAACATTGCACAATTTTAGAGCTATGACGAATCAAATTGTTTGACCTTGGCATAGGAATTCTTATACTGCGAAAAATATTTCTTCGTTTGAAAAGCATTTTGACACATATATATATATATATCATATATATATAAATAGAATAAATGAAGAAAAAGCCACGCAACTTGTAAATTACGTTTCGGCACTTCGGCCTTCTTCAGCAAACTGAGTGTTTTGCACGCGCCATTGCTACAAAAACCAACGCGACTAACGGAAAACAACAATGTTATATATCATATATATATATTTACGTGTACACCTAACCCAAAAAATTCTGCAACTTTTAATATATATATATATGTCTTTTGTTCTTGAGAGATTAAACAATAGGGAAACAATAGACATATATATATTGAAAGTTGCAGAATTTTTTTGGTTAGGTGTAGCAAACAACTTCATTAGGCGATGGTATACGGACCACATGCAAAGMTGTAAGTTAAGGACGTCTATAATGTCCAAGAACAGAGTCTTCTTGTTTTTACATAACGTGATCTGCTTTCGGCTGCATTCTCATGAAAACTTTGGAAAACGTAAAGTATATAAAGGTATAGCAATTGTGTGAATAAAACTTAGTGTTTTTAAGTTTGGAAATAAATACATAATAAAGCCGAAAGTCCTTATTGAGCGAGTTGGGTTCGAAAGACGGGTAAACATTTCTACAAACTAAACAAAAACGTTATTCTGTGTTTTCAATGATTTTCAAAAACATCTGCAAATCCCATATTATAAAACAAAGGAATGACGATAATTTTACAACTGGAGAAAACTGACCGCTAGAAACACAATAACAGAACGGAGTTCATCATTGCGACGGAGACCGTATGCTTAAGTGCACAAGCCGCTTTAATTCAAGAACGTTACAATACTATCCCAATTAACGGAAGCCCAAATTTGGGCAAAAACCTAAAAGCAAGGATATGTCACAWTTTTTTTCTTTTCTTGAGTTTGGAGCTGCGTTTGTGTCACCTTTCACATGTTTTTTTCTGGCTGTTGGGTTTTGTGCTTGTGCTAGGTTTGGACCTGTGCTTGCATCGTCGCGAAAACAGGCATCAGCTGTCATCAGTAACCAGGATGATAGAAATAGGTYAAATGTTAGAGGTGCGTCATCAATAGACCACCGCAGTCTTTCATTTCTTTGTCACATACCTTTTTTTACTTAGTTTTCATTGRAAATTATGAATAATTTATGATTTGCAGTGAATTCATAACCACAACTTTTAACTTAAAAGTTCTTTTAGTGACTTGTCTTGCAGGATGAACTGATGATGAAATCTCGTAGTTTATGAGCACTTGCAATGGTCATGTTTGAAAATAAACTCATCAAATGACAACATTTTAAAACAAGGATGATTTTAGATTTTGACTWTCTTCATATTATAAGTGACTGTTTTTAGTCATTCTTTTTAAAAAATATTTTCTCGGTATTTTATTTAATAATATTTGGGCAAAACATCGTTCTTTAAAGTCAAAGTATTAGATCGAATTTATATCGAGTATTATAATCATATAGGTCGCTGMCGACCAAACGTCGTGTGCGGAAATGTGTCAAAAAACTCGCCTTACTAAATAGCCGGACGTYGTGCAAATTATTCATCCAACTTAATTGAGTCAGACGTCGTACTTTTCACCGAACGAACCTGTTTTATAGAACTAGATGCGCGCAAAGTTTGACCCAGGATACAAGCTTACRTTCTCAGTGTAATCGCCTGTAAWATTTATGAATCATTGTTTTTTGAGTTCTATTGAMAGCAAAAGTACTTAGTTAAACTTTTTTACTTAATTATTGATGACTGTGATGAAATACTGTATAGGCAGGGATATTTCATTTGATTCAGTATAAACTCYGGCATMGTGAGGTCAAATTAACACTGTCTCAGAGAAAATTCTTTTGCCATCCAAGTCATCTCGAATGATGCAGATTTCAAGAATGACGCACTATTTCCTGATCGCCTTGTCGCTTCTACTATCMTTTMCGTTCTCATTRSAAGATGAAAATTCAAGAAATTTCTTTGCTGTGATRCGCGAAGGATACACCCTTCACTACCCGACGGCGTCTTTTCAAACACTAAAAGTTGATGACTTGATGTGTTGTGCTCTGAAGTGCCTTGAGATATCCCTTTGTTTCTACTTTAACTATCAAGTATCATCAAGCGGAGGATTGAGTTATTGTCAGGTTTTCAAGGGCCTTTATCACACTCGTAGGARTCAGTTAGATGGTTTGGTTCAAAAGACGGCAGGCTTTGAGTTTGGAATGGTGATATCCAAGGTAAGCCGTCAAACTTGCTCAGCAAGTGAACRCAKAAGGTTTTGAGAMCAGTTTTTGCTCTTTTTTTCTATTGTCAATACTGTTACTTTGGCTTTTATAATTTTCCTACTCAGGTTTCTCCCACTTCTTCTGTGTTCTTCTTCTCATTCTTTGTTTCATTGTCTTCATTTGTTTCTTATCCTCTCTATTATTCGCTACTTCCATCGATCCTTTTCTTTCTTCTTCTTTTTCTCTTTCTCCTCCTCCTTCAGTCGTCGCATTCTTCGTCTTCCTTTTTATAATGATCTTCTTCTCCGTCTTCATCTTCTTCTTCATCTTCTTCTACGTCTGCTTCTTCCTCTTCGTCTGCTTCTTCTTCTTCGTCTATTTCTTCTTCTTCGTCTACTTCTTCTCCCGAGTCTTCTTCTTCATCTTATCTTCTTCGTCTTTTTCTTCTTATCATCTTGTCTTGTCTACAATTCTTCCTGTGATAACCAGCAATTTTCGCCCCGTTGATAATTTAATTCTATCGGTATTAATTACACCAGAATCGAATTTATTGATACTTATAGGGACCAAACTCCTGTCTTGACTATCTAAGAATGAACGCATCAGGAAAAAATGGTATCTATGAAGTGAGGGATACCAAAACCTTTCAAGGATACGATGTGTTTTGCGATTTCACCTCCGAGCCTGGTTCAGCGTGGACCCTGGTGCTGTCTTACAGACGTGATTTCTTCAAATCAGGTGCGGATGAAATATACTATCAAAAGGATGCACCTTTAAATGAACCAAACCCGACATTTAATGGATTCAGACTTTCTCGTCGTAAGATGGAATCCCTGAGATGGGTGTCAACTCACTGGCGAATTACGTGCGACTTTCAAGTTCCTGGGATTGAGTTATACAGGGATTACGTGCGTGCAAAGTTTGCTGACTTTGACATGATCAACTATCAAGGCGCAGGMAAATGCATGAAGATGGAGTACTTTAACCTTCGTGGGTATAACTGTACTAACTGTATGACACCATGGTGGCAAGATCATAAC